TCCAAGGTTTGTTCTCTTTCACCTCTACCAGTGCCACCATCACCTGCTGCTTACATGATCCCTCTGCTGTCTACACCGGGCAGGTGGGGGGATCCATATGCGTAAGGATGAGTGACCACTGATCTGACATCCATTTCAGAACAAAACACAAGCCTGTGGCAGAACACTTTAAACCTCCCTGGACATCCATTGCTGACCTCAGAGTAGCCGTTCTTAAACAACAAAGTTTTAAAAACTGATTTGTATGCAAAATTTTGGAACAAGAAATCATCCACAGACTGTAATTGCATTAAGTGTAGTCTAAACCGGGACTTTGGATTCTTATCCCATTACCTGGATTAGTTTTGGTGATAGCTTTGTCACCATGGGTTTATTACTCTTTTGCCTCTCCCAGCATGGCCCCCATCCTTCCCTCTCATCCCTGTCTTTTATATTCAAATCACTCTCTCTATTTGATAGCCTGCTCTGTGCATATCCTTTCACATGTCTCTGATGAAGTGAGCTCAAGCTTCCAAAAGCTTATGCATCTCTGATTTAGTTAGTCTATAAGGTGCAAATCTACCCTGCCCTCTGCCTGACTTCAGACTGACATGGCTAACCACCTCATTTGAGCAGTACGTCACCTAAAGATGCAGCAGGGCCCACTTAAACCAGCTCTGCTCTGCAGAGTTTTGCAGGCACAACTACGTCAACAAGGAGTCTGGAGAAGGAAAAGAAAAATCACATCCCCTGGCCAACATAGCTGTGCCATCCAAATTGTAAGGTAGACAAAAGAGAGCTTTTGTTGGCCTACTTTATGGTGTTCAGAAAAGTGAATAAACTAGCAATGCATCTCCTTCTGTCAGCTTGCACTGTCTCTCTACAGCAACAGTGGCAGAGACTATTCTAGCCTACACAAACCTTTGGCTGACAGGGTTTTGTCCCAATTAAATAGATCCCAGAGCAGTGGGCCTGAAGCCTTGTACTGTTACAGAGATTCTTGGTTTTGGGCAGGGGCACTATCACCACAGGCAGATCAAGGATTTTAAAAATGGGGGTGATAACACAACACACCATTTTCACCAGTTAAAGAGAAACCAGAACCTTTGTATTCAAATCACTCTCTCTATTTGATACCCTGCTCAGGTGATGTACTGTTAGAATGAGGTAGTTAGCTGTGTTAGTCTGAAATCAGGCAGAGGGCAGGGTAGATTTGCACCTTATAGACTAAATCAGAGATGCATAAGCTTTTGGAAACCTGAACTCACGTCATCAGAGGCTGTGAAAGGGGGCTAATGTTACAATATTCCATTTGCAATCAAAGCAAAAGCAAATATAGCTATTGGAATATACTCTAATTTGCCAGATGATATATAAAGTTAAAAAAAGAAAACACAACAAACTAAAATAGTCCAAAGATATTGTGTCATTAGTCCTGCTGTTATTATACTTAAATGTGCATGTCTTATTCAGATTCATAAAACAAAATCTAACCTTCTTAAGTATCTTGACCTTGTCTGCAATACTTCAGTCAGTTATTTCTATACCTGAGTTAATATGACCACACTTGAGCTAAAAACAATCTGCAGAGCTGGGAAATAGAAGAGAGACATTACCAGGAAGGGCTAACAGACAGCAGAATTGTGGAAGAAAGGATAGTTTGAATAGTGGAACATCAAGACCACTAAAAAGGAGAGAGGGTCTTTAACACCTGTGGAGTGGACCTTAGCAGGAATCATGGAGATGATAATGAGCCATGAAGTCAATGGACTCTCTCAATGCCTGAATAGAAATGCTGCTTATCCTCCCAGGCAGTTGGGTTTAAAGTTTGGGTGGAACAGGAATCAAAGTACAGCTGCACCACTGCATCATCTCTGGCCATGGCCTGTAGACCCAGAGAAAGGGACTATGGGACAGACATCGGGAGCCTGACACAAAAGCCAAAGTGTGGAAGTTGTCTGACAGCAGCCAGGACCTGGAAACAGTGGAGCAGTTCAAACCCTTTCTGGGATGTACCATAGGTAGGGAAGGACCAACAGCTACTGTCTCAGGAGCAGACAGACAGTCTGACCCAGCATGAGAATGAGACACACACGTATACAGGCAGTCCTCGACTTACAGTGTTTCGAGTTACAACATTTTGCACTCACAACATTTATACATTGACACCCTGTTTCAACTTTCTGACGTCAGTTTTCACTTTACAACGCGAGATCCGATGCAATGCCATGCCAGTGAACAAGTTTGCTGCGTCGCCCATCTCCCTGGAGAACATCTGTCCAAACTTCCTTGGACACTTTCTTTATGAAAGCAGACAAGACTCCAGAAAAACCTGCAGCCAAGACTCCTGAGAAGACTCCAGCCAAGAACCCTTCAAAAAGTCCAGCCAAGTCACCTCAAAGAAGTCCTTCCAAATCAATATGATTGCTATTTAACATATAAATGCATTAATGTAGCTATATTATTCATCTATAATTGATTGACTACAAAATTCTGGGTTATTTTTGGTGAAAATAGGGTATCAGGCCTTGGTTCAGGAACCAATCCCCATTTATAACATTGTTTCCTATGGGAAAAATGGTTCTGAGTTACAACATTTTGACTTAAGATGCAGTTTTCAGGAACCAATTATGTTGTAAGTCCGAGGACTGCCTGTACCATTAAGTGACCTGAATGCATCTCCATTAAGGCAACAGACTCTCTCTGTTAAGCAGCAACCTCCACCATTTGCTCTCACTGGGAAAAGGCTCCTTACTTACTTAAACTTGTCCTTAGTAAATATCCTGTGCATTACTGCATATAGTATACAGCCTTTCACTGCTGCATACCCTGTTGCTCCTTAAAAGACTGGGACCCCTGTGTGCCTTATTTATTCAGGCTAATGGCCTGGTGGCATCAAAGAGAATTTTCTACCACTGATTTCAGCAAAGGCCCCAAGCACCCTGGTAAGACCTGAAATAGTTACCAGAAAACCAGAGGAAAAACAGGACTTTGATGAATATGGAAAGGGGCCCAGACACTGTGACAGTCTGGTGCTCCAAGACAAGTTCTGAGTGGATGGAGTGGCTGTCACCACAGACACCTCCATTGTTGGAACCTTTGCAGGCAGTGTCAGTAGAGGCAGGGATCACATGGACTTTGGAGAGCAAATTCCCCTCTCACAACCAGAGTCCCATTTCTACCACCTCATTCTCCATACAGAACTGCAGCAGTTGCAGAGCCAGGGAAGAAGTCACCCAGCTGATGATGGCAACAGCTCCCATCTCAGCAGCATCCTGCCTTAGTTCTGCTCTATGAGACCAGACTTTCAAACCCCACTACCTCTATTCTGGTGCCCCAGAGGGCAAAGTTTATCAGGTATGAGTCTGCTGCCCAAGACATAAACTCTACCAAGTTCACCACTGTGCAAGGCTCTGCAAACGGGAATCTGCACACTGCCACTGAGATAAACATTGGTGTCAGTGGTGGGAGAGCAATATGAGGACTAACTGTAATGGATGCATGCCAACTCTTTGTTACGCAAGAGTAACATAACCAGAGATGAGTAAGAAGAAAGTTGGCCTTGACTCTGTTGAGGCCAGACCTATTCAGTGGGGAGAAAAAAAGCGCCACATTTCCCAGAGCTGCTGTCATTCCCCCCCAGCATAAAGTTCAAATTGGACTGAATAAAGAACGTCTTCCCAGCCTAACTATTTTCTGGAAAATATAGTTAATAAAAAACCTCTTTTCCCTTACGGTAGTTTTTAATTGTTTTGCAAGGCTGGCAGAGCTATTGAGGCATGCATTGTACTGCCCTTCATCAACATTCAAGCTGAGGAAATGCAGTTTCAGAACCTAATGAGTACATTGGAGCCATCGCTTTTGTTCTTTGTTCCCCAGCCTTTGTTTGCCTGCATAGTGCAGCAAGCGCCTTTGTTTCTTCTGAGAAAGTCTGGGCTTGTCAGGGTTGGGGGAGGAATGGCACAGTAAAAACAGACAAAACAGTCTCTTCCACTGGGAAAACAGATAAATATGTCTCCAGGGCTGGAACCATGTCAGATAGTCACTGCTGACTCCTCAAGTGGGATCCTAAACTACTGGATGTCTGTGTGTTTGTAAATATTGTGGCAGGGCTACAATAAAAAGCCTACTTAGATCAGAGAACTCTCCTTTGAAGTCTCAAGGGCTTGCTCCTACATCTCCTCCTCCCAGCCCCTCTGCTACCCTTGAACCTCATGTGGGCAACCACAGCAAAATAGCTAGCTTCCCACCCACCCCCTATCTTTATCAAGGATCCACCTAGCAATGACAAAAAGTTAGTTAAACCAGACCAGCAGGTCATCAAGTGCAGTCCCCCACACTCCTGTTTTCTACCACACTGAACCATCAGCTTCCTCTCATGCAGAGCTGGTTCAGGATGGTCACTGCCCTAGGGCACATGCAGTGCCCATAGGACTCCCATTCATTTCAAAAGGAGCAGAATGGCAGAGGGCTCAAGCTCTAGGATCCCATCAGAGATGACCTGGTTGGGGCAGCTGTTTCAGACTAGTTGATACAAACCTTTATTGTTTTACAGACATACCCTATGGCAGCCTGTGGCAAGAGCATGGCAGGAGGAGATGGCAAGTTTGGTTCTCATGGGCAGCCCAGCAACATCTGATGGCATTGGTCCCCTGGCCCCTTTTGTCACCTGCTGGACAGATCAAGGAACAGTCCTGATGCTCAACAGCAAATCCCAGGACACCCCTTCAACCAAAGGAATAGAGAAACCCAACCCTGCCATGTCCTCCCTCTTTCACAAAGCCTGTCACCTACACACACTCTCTTCATGGAGATTTTGTATGTGCCGTATTTCCAGGTGATTGTTCAGGGGTCAAATTAAAATCCTAATGGAGTCACGTTGGGTTATCTGTACTCAGGTGAAACACTCAAGTACAAGGGAACTACTCCCAGGAGCTATAATCACTATGGGTGGCAGAATCAGGTCCATGTGGAGGGGGGAGAAGGAGTGCTTCCCTTCTTTTAAAGGAAAAATGTCTTACCTGTAACAAGAAAGCTTTGAAGCTGTGAATGTGGTTGGAATTTTAAACATCTGCTTTGCTTTCTCCCATTTCTGCTGTTCATTTCCATTATGTAGGCTTTCCTTCCCTCCAAAACCTGAAAGCAGACTGAGATTTTCTTTCTGTTTGCAGCCAGTTTCTAGTAGAAGGCTCTTGCTTGGGGGGATGGAGACCACTTATACATGCTTGTTTGTTTTAAACATTCTTTCCAAGCAGGTTTGTTTGATTGCTATTTTAATGGAAACATTTCTCTGAGGTACTTTTACAAAGCCTAACTTTTGGATTTAATTAGACCTGGCAATTTAAAACAAAACTCCTGGGTTTTGTTCTTAGTTTAAACAGCCATGTTAAAACAGCCCAAAGATTCATTAAATCCAGTGTCCCATCACTGACACTGGCCAAAGCGCTAATCTTCAGCAGAAGATTTATGTCATGTACTGAAGAACCAGGAAGCAGTCATTTATTTTTGTTTTGTGTAAGTTGATGTTGACTTCTATTAAAGAGTCACCAGAGAGCAAGGGGGATTATATATCATTCTCATGGGCTTTCCAAAGCTTTTCTCTCTTGCAGCAATTATCCCCTCTGCTCAGGTTTATTTTAGTCAGATTAATTAAATACAGCAGCAAGCTAAACTAGTATCCATCTCACCTCAAATGTCCAGACCCTTCTAGCTGACAGAGGTGCGACGACTCTTATAAGTTAGCCCAGATGTCTGCAAGTCCAAAAATTAACCTATTTTAAATTGCATTAACATACTGAGCAAAGCATCTAGTTTCTTTCTGACAGCATCTGCTGGTTAACTCATACCCTGTGCCAGCAAGAAAGAGAGGTTGTGTAATTTCATCTCGTAACTGCAAACAGTGTTCTTATTCACATCCATGTCCTGAACCTTTCTAATATCATACCAGAGCAGTCACATATGACAGAGCATCTTAGGAGTTATTCAGGAACCTTGCCAAGGTTAGACCTTTCTATTCCCCTAAGTCCAATGAGAGAGCTTTTTTCTGCTCCTCTCACTTCCCTCTAATTGAAAGCAGCTTTGGTTACTGAAAAACAATCCTGGAAGGCGATGGAATGAGGAATACATGTTTTAGGTCAGTACATCTCTTCCAATGGGAGAAAACAAAAGGATCCTGGGAACCCCTCAGGACAAACGAGTGGTGTCCTTGCCATAGACTTGTGACTTTGTCCTTCACAGCATTGTGCCCATCCAAGCAGTGCCCTAGCACCACCATTCCTCTTCCTCCTGCCATCTTGTGCCTTTTTATCAACCATTTCTGCCTAACTTTTGGTTCCCTCACTTGTTTTGCACTTCATTGTCTTCTGCTGGCTTCCATCCTCCACCCCCTGACTCACCTTGGGACAACCTAGTGCTTACCAGGTAGTATGGTATGGTGTTTTTGTGTGGGGGTCAGGTGCACGTGGTTAGCTGAGGTTGAAAGCTGAGGGTCCGAAGACCGAAAACAAAGCTTGAAGGGACAAGCTGACCCCAGGGTCTGCAGCCTTTTGCACGTGAACCATTCCTACTGCTGGCTGCTCTAGGAACTGCCACAGTGCAGCGCATTCATGGGCTGCAGACAAGAGATGCACTTACTAGACAAAGCTCATGGATGTGCACCCTGCAGAGCTGGTGCCAGAGCCCTGTACCCTCAACTAGGTGAATCTGCATGTGCATTAATGCACTTTAGTTAATGCGCATTAAATCTAGTACCTGGATCCATTGTTAGGTACCAAGAAAATGTGCATTAGCCTGTCTTAATGTGCATTAACTAAAAAGCATGGTTTTTAAGTGACATTTAATGCTCATTGACCTATTTTAATGCGCATTAATTAGCACATTTTAAGTGAGGCTTTAATGCACATTAAAATAGGCTAACGTGCATTAACGTGCACCGGTAGACGCACCCACAGACCTGTTCTTTCAGTCCATTAAAAGGATCTACTCCTATTTCAAGCTACCTATGATCCAGCCACCAGAGGGCGCCATTGCTTTAAAAGACTGCACACTGTCCCAGGGCTCAGAAGCAGGTCAGGCACATAACCCCACTTGTGGGGCATATTTGCTATAGGGATGGAGCAGAAACAATGCCAGTTATCTCTGCTCTTTCTATGCCTCCTACTAACTCTGCTCTTGCCCACCACACTTCCCACCCAGTTGGGAAATGCCACTATGAGCATAATTGCTCTCTGCACAGTGCAGACACTGTTGTTGACCAGGTATGTAGGATACATGTGCCCTACAAAGCACA